TATTAAAAAACTCCTAAAATCAGTAAGAAAAAGGATAAACGACCAAAACAAAAATAGGCAAAGAACATAAACATGCAAAATTCAGAGATAAAGAAAATTGGATGCCTCATACACACTGGAAAAAGATGCTCAATCAGCAGGGAAATGAAAATGAAAACTACAATGACATACTATTTCATACCCATCAGAATGGCAAATTAAAGTCTGAAAATCCTAACTTGCTGAAGATGTGGATTAATAGAGCTTTTCATGTATTGCTAAAAGAAGTGTAAACTGGCAGGGACTCTTGAAAGAGCAATGGGGCAATATCTAGAAAAGGTTAAGGTGCTCACTTCCTATGGGCCAGCAATTCTACTCTCAGGTATGTACTCTAGATAACTCTTGCAAATATGTACAAGGAGTAGGATAAACATATTCACTGCAGCGTTGTTTGTAATAGCAAGAGCTTTGAAATAAGCTAAACGCTAACAGGAGAATGGACACACGATTTGAAGAGTAGTCATCAATGAAATGCTACACAGCAGTTAAAAAAAATAACCTAGAGCTACTGGAGGCAGCGTCGTGATCAGAAGCATGGGCTTGGAGCCAAACTGCCCAGGTTGGGGTCCCTGCCCCATCACTTACTAGCTGCTTGATCTTGGGAAAGTTCTTCAGCCCCTGTGCCTTACTATCCCATCTGTAAAACTGCTGTAATAGTGTCTACTTTATAAAGTTGTATGAGGGCCATACGATTTAATCATGGAAAGCCTTCAGAACACAGCGTACGTAAGTTTACTACTCACATTCTCTATCAATGCAGATTAATATTGGAAGTGGAGATTAAACATGTATTAGATTTATTCTACAAATATTTATTGAACTCCGAGTACACAAAGGCACTGCTTTAAGGTAAAATTTTGATACATCAATGAATAAAACAAAATGTCTGCCTTTACGGAACTTACTTTCTGGGACGAGCAGATAGATAGTTCCACACATACCATGTTAGGCGGTGATGAGCACTGCAGGGGCAAGTCAAGCAAGACAATGGGCTGTGAGTGCAGAATACAGGGCTAACTAATATAGTTGGGGCTATCAGGGAAAGCTGCTGTGGAGAGGTGATAGCTGAGTCTAGTACCGAAGGAAGTGAAGTATAAATCATGCAGATACCTTGGGAAACAGCTATATATGAAAGATATATGACAGAGCAGATATCTTTAAAACAGATAAGATTATTCCACTAGGAAAGACAAAAACTATCATTTAAAATACACAGAAAATATTTTAAAATATCTTAGTTTATAACATAATTTATCAAAGATTATTTCTCAAATACTGTCCAAATGTTTTATTTGGAAATAACTTAAATAAAAAATATTAAGAAAAGGCTTACCAGGTTCAATAAATCCAGCAAGGCAGGTAAACATGCCTGGGGGAAATCTTTTCTGCCTGCCTAAAAGACATTTGGTCCCATCTGGATGAATAACTTGCATGATTACTACTGGATCTAGTAAAAAAAAATCAGATGTATGAATGACAGGAAAAAATAATTTAGACTCATTGTGTAAAGTCACTGTCCAGTAGGATAATAAAAAGACTCCTGTCTAGTTATGAGATTGTTTCTTTCTCTCTAAAGACAGACTATNTTAAATAAAATTTTATCTACTATCTTATTTAAGTTAAATAACTTTTAGTATCTAAAATTTTAATTAACAATATTTAGTAAACCGAATTTAGTTTTATCATCCATTATTTTAATTTATTTTATGTATACTTTTAGTAATAGTTTCTACTTCCTATTAGAGAGAGAATTCTGCATTGGGTTATACAGTATAGAATGTTTTAAGTTACTTAAATGTAATTACAATTAATTGTATTAAATTTTTTAAGTTGTAATTTTGTAACTTTCATCAATCAATTAATTAGTTCACCTTTAATGAATTAAATTGATTAAATTCACCTTTTAGGGTTTCCTTTTCCTTATCTGTAAAAGAAAGGCAGTGAACTACATATGTTATCTTTAATGTCTCTTCTAGCTCTAACATACAATAGTAGAGTCAAATTATATAAATTTATATCTTTAAACACTACCTTTTAAAACAATTTCAAAATAGCTTTATAAAATATGAGTTCTATGTTGCAAAATTGTGAACTACTACAATTTACTTTCTCTAGAATTTTATTGATTCATTTTCAAGATAGACTTACAATATTTTATGAAGATTTCTTAGAATGTTGATTTAAGGCCAAAACCAAGATGTTATATTTGAGTTTAATGAATGTTATTAGTAATGATTATATAATTTTTTGCTAATGCAGATACATCCCTTATCACAAAATTACATAAAGCAAATGTTTTTTTTTTTTTAAATACCAGGGGTGCCAAAAAAATGTACACAAGTGGACACTTTGGTCATCGTTGCTCAAGCAGTAGTTCACCGTAAT